TCAAACGACGTACGGATTCGTAAGCCGGATATTCAACCACGATCACAATATCGACTACTGATCTACTAACCAAATTAGCTATGTTGTAACGTCATTTCAGATCTACAGTAAATATTTTCAGGGGGTGTCGCTAACCGGTATAAAGGGCGTTTATCGAGTAAGCACTCCACAGCTTTGCTTTTATTTACTATCTTTAGCAGCATAGATTTCCCTCCTTCCTGCAGCCTTTTCTGTAGTCATTTTTTGGCTTTATGTTTCCCCTCCCCTCCTAAGGTCTATTAAATGCAAACGCTAAAACATTATGTCAAAATTATGGCAAACCATATAATGCACATATAATACTTTTTGTAATCATGTCAGAGCCAAAACTGTTAATATTTCTTTGTTTTTTTAGGGGGTCAGCATGTTTTAAGTTTTAAAATATAATGTAGGGGGGGGGGTCACCCATTTTTTTTATTTGATAGGGGGTGGGTCAACTGAGATTTACACCTGGCAAAATGGAATCTGCCGACCCCCCCCCCCCCTAGGCCGAAGTAACTGACCAATCCCTAAGTGACATTGAATAAAATAATACAATTCGTCTTAACCACTAAATATTTTGTTTGCCAGCACAATTTCTGTGTGACCTCCCCCTTAACTGTAACTGACATGTAATTAGTACACCGTACTGGCTTCAATTCCCAAACAGAACTGACTAGGGCCTACTTCTACCATATTGTTGTTAATTCGTGCAGCGCTGATCTGGCGATATTAAGACAGTTAAATCGGTGAGTTCCCATTATTATTATGATGTAGTACGTCGATGTAATTTATGTTATCCGATTAGCCATGAAAATCTTATTGTTCAAATTATGATTATAGTGTAAAATGTGGTACATATATGCAGTATGCCATTCGTGATCATATGTGTTATTCATAGCATGTACAATTATATATACATGTATTGATTGATATATATTATTAGAAAGGATTTGGGTAACAAAATATAACAAATGAATAGTCTGCGCACTCAAGTTTGAATATTCAGTTGAGAATTTGTATATTTATGAGAGATCTGCACTACCAGGAATTTTATAATAAAACATTGATTACTTTAGTATTCTAATGACACGTAAAAATCAGATGGTGAAATCAATGCTTTTAAAGTTAAAATGGCCATCATGTCCAGACTTGTATACTATATATAAGGGAATATAGATCAATAATATCTATTGTAAGTTCCTTTTTTGTAAAATAATACACGTCATTTACGTAGTGATGACAAATATATTATTTTTAATTGGGGACGAGAATTCTTTACACTTTTGTAGAGGAGCGTCCACACTTTTTTAGTCACCCCACGTTTCCGATATTGAAGTGTTCATAGTTTTAGCTGAATGTGATGCCACGGATTACGTATACACTCGATCATAAATTTCTATCCACGTTTACATACCGAACTAGTAAATATTCAGTAATACTATTTTTTGATCTGCCAAGTGCGTCTAAATGAGAATAGGTCGCGATATCGCGTTTCAGACAACATTATTAATTTTAGTAATTTTAGTAGTAATTATTTTTTTGGCACTGAAATTAAAAAACAAAATACATTGGATTGGACAGGGGGAAGTCATATTTCAACCATGTAAATAAAATCACACAACTTTAATAATGATAAACATGATGACTGTTTATAAAAGTAAATCGATGACCTGTAACAAATATTACAAATATCGGGTGACAACCATGAGTAAACATTGTAACTAGGTCAGGCAAAATATTAACCTAAAATACCAAACAATATGCAATATCTTATCAGCTCGTGTGTGGGTCCTTATAGCAGGAGTGTCGTCACCTACGCTGCGCGTGCGCGGGAATTGAGTCTCATGCGATGATAACAACACACGCTAAAAACGCAAAAGCTCATGGGTAGACATTTGTTTGTAAACAATGAAACGCTATGGCCATTAGACGCATGCGCATGTGACGACTTCCCCGCTTTAAATTAGTGTCATAGTATAAATTGATAACAGCCAAGAAGTAGGTTTTATAGCTCAGGTAGACGCATTTGACACTACACGAACAGAAAGTAGGTCCATTTATGTGACCTCAAAGTCACACTTGGACAAAACTGGACTAGTATCTGTGTAGTGAATGAACAGGTGTCGCGGGTTAATCAACGATTGACACAATTAGCTGTGTGACGTCATGGCGACGATGCCGACTGATTTAGGGAACGTCCAGTACCGAACATTTCTACACACACATACATGCTCGTTAGGCCTGGTCTAGGGTTATTATACTATGTTGTTAATGTTTAGAATTGTTATTTTCCTGGCCAGTTTATTTATGTAATATTTTACCAGTGTCACCAGAAGTGATGTTTGAAAATTTCACTATAATTAAAAGTGGAGCCTATATTTTGACCTTCAGTCCGCAAGCTTTGGTGGATCGCAAATTTAGATGATGAAATACAAATACAAAAAAATGGTGAAGTAGTTGTTAGTATTATGTGGTGGTAAGATTATAAAGCAACATAGCGGTATTCTAAGTGCGGTGTGTGACATATATGGGATGATGGATGCGTTTTGTTGGCGATCCGCTCCGCTAGAATTGCCCTTATAATCACTTTTGTTGGCAATCCGCTCCGCTAGAATTGCCCTTATAATCACTTTTGTTGGCGATCGGCTCCGCTAGGATTGCCCTTATAATCACTTTTGTTGGCGATCGGCTCCGCTAGAATTGCCCTTATAATCACTTTTGTTGGCGATCCGGCTCCGCTAGGATTGCCCTTATAATCACTTTTGTTGGCGATCGCTCCGCTAGAATTGCCCTTATAATCACTTTTGTTGGCGATCGGCTCCGCTAGGATTGCCCTTATAATCACTTTTGTTGGCGATCCGCTCCGCTAGGATTGCCCTTATAATCACTTTTGTTGGCGATCCGCTTCGCTAGAATTGCCCTTATAATCACTTTTGTTGGCGATCGGCTCCGCTAGGATTGCCCTTATAATCACTTTTGTTGGCGATCCGCTCCGCTAGGATTGCCTTTATAGTCACTTTTGTCGTTTTGTGTGTGTGTGTGTGTGTGTGTGTGTGTGTGTGTGTGTGTGTGTGTGCGTGTGTGTGTGTGTGTGTGTGTGTGTGTGTGTGCGTTGGTAAACCATGAAATGTGGAGCCATTGGCCTGTTTACAC